ATTTCCCACCGTAAAGCATGGAGGAGGAGGTGTTATGGTTTGGGGGTGCTTTGCTGGGGACACTGTCTGTGATTTATTTAGAATTCAAGGCACACTTAACCAGCATGGCTACAACAGCATTCTACAGCAATACGCCATCCCATCTGGTTTGGGCTTAGTGGGACTATAATTTGTTTTTCAACAGGAAAATGACCCAACACACGTCCAGGCTGTGTAAGGGCTATTTTACCAAGAAGGAGAGTGATGGAGTGCTGCATCAGATGACCTGGCCTCCACAATTCCCCGACCTCAACCAAATTGACATGGTTTGGGATGAGTCGGACCGCAGAGTGAAGGAAAAGCAGCCAACAAGTGCTCAGCATATGTGGGAACTCCTTTAAGACTGTTGGAAAAGCATTCCAGGTGAAGCTGGTTGAGAGAATGCCAAGAGTGTGTAACGCTGTCATCAAGGCAAAGGGTGGCTGTTTGAAGAATCTCAAATATAAAATATATTTTGATTTGTTTAACACTTTATTTTTACTACATGATTCCATATGTGTTATTTCATAGTTTTGATGTCTTCACTGTTATTCTACAATGTAAAAAATTGTAAAAATAAAGAAAAGCCCTTGAATGAGTAGGTGTGTCCAAACTTTTGACCAGTAGTGTGTATATATATATATATATATATATATATATATATATACACTACCGGTCAAAAGAAGATAGCCCTATTTGGTAAAAGACCAAGTACATATTATGGCAAGAACAGCTCAAATAAGCAAAGAGAAACGACAGTCCATCATTAATTTAACACATGAAGGTCAGTCAATACGGAACATTTCAAGAACTTTGAAAGTTTCTTCAAGTGCAGTCGCAAAAACCATCAAGCGCTATGATGAAACTGGCTCTCATGAGGACCGCCACAGGAAAGGACGACCCAGAGTTACCTCTGCTGCAGAGGATAAGTTCATTCGAGTTACCAGCCGCAGAAACTACTACTAAAGGACACCAATAAGAAGAAGATACCTGCTTGGGCCAAGAAACATGAGCAATGGACATTAGACCGGTGGAAATTTGTCCTTTGGTCTGGAGTCCAAATTGGAGATTTTTGGTTCCAACAGCCATGTCTTTGTGAGACGCGTGTTGGTGAACGGATGATCTCCGCGTGTGTATTTCCCACCGTAAAGCATGGAGGAGAAGGTGTTTTGGTGTGGGGTGTTTTGCTGTTGACACTGTCTGTGATTTATTTAGAATTCAAGGCACACTTAACCAGCATGGCAAAGGGTGGCTATTTGAAAAATCTCAAATATATTTTGATTTGTTTAACACTTTTTTGGTTACTACATGATTCCATATGTGTTATTTCATAGTTTTGATGTCTTCACTATTATTCTACAATGTAGAAAATAGTACAAATAAATAAAAACCCTTGAATGAGTAGGTGTTCTAAAACTTTTGGCCGGTAGTGTATATAGTTAAATCACACTAACAGTATATTTGGCTTGAGATCAGAGCTTGTTGATCAAAATACAAGTTAGCTGCTTGCTGTACAGTCTCACCTGAAGGGCTTCAGGTAATTGACAAAGTGGTGTTACATATCCTCAACATTAGTGAGTTTTCAGGACAGCAATATGATTGTGAAAGCCGATCCAATAGTGGTAATTTCAAATCCATTAACTGGCAGCAGGGCCTTTACTCAGGATGAATGATTACGTAAATATCGTATTTGATTGCAAAATTGGGTCCAATTTATTATTGACATCTGTACTTATGAATGATTGCGCATTTCATCTGTGCAATTATCTAGGTCGATACTGCCTAAAAGAAAGAAAACAAGTATTTCACCTTCAAGCCTAAAAGAGTATTGACCATCTCTTTCCATGTATTGACCTGATGTTAAATTTGGAACCAGTAATAGTTGATGAGATATGAGTTAACATGGTGAGACACAAGCTTCCAAGATAAATCCTCAACTGAGAGAAATTACATGCATGACTGTATGAGATTATTTTTTCTCTTCTTTATATGGCATTACTAAAACAATTGACAACCTGTAGTGCAGATAGTCAGTCATGCAGTCAGTAACACTCAAGAAGTTAGCGGTCATATCATGTACACCATGCTTATATAATGGTGCTGTATGAACTAGTGGATTAAGCTGTTGCCATTCTCCCAGGTTTCCCAAGGGGACGCTACTGAGAAGCTGGCTCACCAAGTCCCGGCCGAGACTGCTGCTGCTCATCGCGGGGTTGAAAAGGCCTCAGGTGACCCTCATGCGGAGGAAAAGGATGAAGCGCACAAAAGTAGCAAAGGCCACGTAAGCGGTAAATATGGCTAGTGTTGCATGTAAGAATAAACTCCCTTCCCTCCCATCAACACTGATTATTCTTAATAATTATACCCGTCACACAAGATACCCAACCCCAACAGTTGAGGTTGAGGAAATGAGAGTGTGTTGTGTGTGGTCTTCCAACACTTAATAGAAACCGTAAATACTAATCATAAATGAATAATGTCTAAAGGGATAAACAGTAACACTTTATTTCAAGCTGACAGTGAAAATGATTTATAACTTGTTATAAGCATGTAGGAGCCTTTGAGATGTCTTATGATAAGGCTTGTAATATGTCTAATTATGTATCAGATCTTCAAGTGACAACATTTTGTCAGGATCATTACTAGATTATATAAGACATAAGGAGGCCAAACATGCTTCTGAGAAGTTTTGCATAATGTGTTATACCTGTTGATGCAAAGTGTAACTGGATAAAACATTTTTTTAACTGTACACTAAAGTAGATAGTTAATATTCAGCTTAATAATTAGAGTTCTGTGATGCCTACCTGTCAGGTTTCAAAGCCAGTCAAGGAGAAGAGGAAGAACTCAAGAGCAATTGCGCACAGCACACTTTCCTGTCCTCGAAATTCAGTACAATGATTACCCAGCAGAGGTTCCAATCTTACCCCAACGACAGACCACAGTTTACTGTAATTAACTAATATGCCATTAGCTCAGTCAACTGGTGTACCACAGGGGTCAGTCTTGGGGCCAACCCTGTTTTCTATTTATCAGATCATGCATCGGCCACTTGGACACTGAAAAACTGGTCCATGCTATCATTTTATGTAGGCTGGACTACTGTAAAGTTATCCTCACTGGCTATCATGATGAAACCATCAACAAACTAAGGTCAGTCCAGAATGCAGCAGATCATGTCAATTAACTAATGGCACTCAACATGACCATAGGCTATGTTCGGAATGGGATACTACATGCTAAATACTTGCATACTACATGAGCATGCACATTGTACTAAACATACTACATACCGTAGTGAATATGGGGATGTAGTTCCAAATGCTACTGTTAGTCCAACACCTAGAGGTCTGAAACTCTTGACAAGGTTGCTGTTGTTCTAAAATCACTAGAGTATTATTTTGAATATTGTCGTTTTACTGTAGAGTTATCTTGAGTTAGTACCTTGCTAGTAGGCTAGCTTGGGCTACAGCTAGCTTCCCATTCTCATGACAGTTTGATTTCAAACATCAGAATACTATTGCATCACTCATTAAGGATAAGTGTTGGCTGCTAAATATGTCAATCAGATCTGAGACAAATAGGGGCATATCTTTGGTGTTAGCTACAACCCCTTCCTCCAGTAATGCCTTCTGGGATATAAATAAACACTCATGTGATAGTGTACAGTGTTCTCATACAATAAATAGCCACTTTGATTTAGCCATAACATGAGAAACTTGGTTTTGCTCCATTGTACCCCATTCAGTTTTCCACTCGTTTGATGTGTGTCCCCCCAGTGGCAAGTTTTACAACATACAATGTGAATAGACAGATACATGGCTAAATCTAAACATTGTTACAGTGTTATATCTACATTTGAGGCCTGGTTGCCATAAACATTTTTACTTAACTTTGTAAGCTCTTCCAAAAACTTTAATTGGAGAATCCATTGATCCCCATATTCATCCTGTACTCTTGATGTGCGCCCTCTGCTGCTAGTCTCTGGTACTGCACTCATCTCTGCAATTTTGAGAGCTGCAATTCTTACATAATCAGATATCCCTTGCTCTTATTCAATTTTGGGGCGATTGTTGTATGACATCGTGGTCTGTCAACCCTACTTAAATAAACATACTATCCTGCATACTTCGTACACTGCAGCCACACATACTTTCACACTATGTTGTAGGCATAGCGAGTATGTCATTCTGAATACAGCCATAGTCTCTAGGATAGGATAACACTACATCCACTTGTATAGTGATGATAAGATGGGGTGCAGTGGTTAAGTAAATCAATTTGAAGGCTTCAAAAGGTCAGCACCAATTATGATCCAATTGAAAACACATGTTCTTTGTCTTACAGAACCTGCAATCGAATGCCGCATTTCACTTGAGGCCTTGGCAAAGAGGATCTCCCCACCTGAGTTAGATATGAAAGACGAAGACATGGAAGAACTACGTTTTGAATCTTTGTCAAAGCAACGAACTAAAAGCCAAAGCAAACAGAAATGGGGGTTTAGCGTCTTTTGTGAAAACAAGAGATCTGCAACAGAGATCTAGACCCCCTGATTAATCGAGATCTTCTCCTACATTTGTACATCTCTTCAAATACACATTTGTTATGGTTCATTATAGCACAATGAGTGTGACTTGTACATTATTTACATCCAGTGGCATACATTTAGTTGAACAGAACTGACTATCGCTGTGTTCTTAGGATATCTATTTTCCAGTCAGAGAATGATTTGTTTCACATATCAAATTTGTGTTTGAGTGGGTGAATAAGAAAATAGTGCCTCTCCATGGCTAGCAGGTGTAAATATCTAAACCACAGTTGGCACACACGATTAATGCAACTCTGGGCCAATGAAAGAGTCACCATTAACAATCTGACCCATCAATTTTCCTTATTCTACATAAACCATCCAAGTTACTTGAAAGGAAAATTAGGTAAAACCTTGAGGTAAATATTCAAAAATCTAATTTAATTGGTCACATACACGTATTTAGCAGATGTTATTGCGGGTGTAGCGAAATGCTTGTATTCCTTTACAAATAGGTAACAACAATTCGAGGCAACACTTTATTACACTCAAATCATAAAGCCTACTTTACAATGCCATGGACAGGTCATAGAAAATATGTTTGGCAATTAACATTTATTTTGTTAACTACATTATCTGATAATGCCTATTGTATTTAAGTGAATGGCAAGCTTTCACAAATCATGTATCATGAAATAACATAAACCGCTTTAAAAAAATCATATGCCCTGCTCATGACACTGCAATGTAGTCTTTACTGGTAAGATTTCAAGTAAAGCAAGTTAATATTTTGGTAAAGTTTATTTTACCAACCCAAGTAATACACTTTTTAAAATCAGAAATAATTTATTACATAAACATTACAATTACTTAACCTGGCTAGGAAAAAAAAGTTTGCACCATTTGAAAGTTATAGTTAACACAATTTGTAGATTTGTTTGTCTTCATTTTGTAATCATATTGTCATTTTTGCTACCATGAGATGGGAAGCACAATGTCTCATCATACAAAAATGTAAGTATCCGTTTTGACATTGATAGCAATCTTTTAATATTTTACATTATTGTATTAATTTATCATCTTTATACTAAGTTGTCACATTTCACATGTAAATACATTAACTTTCGTTCCACAATCTTCACAAAGGACAAAATTGGAATAGTCAAAATTATAGTAGAGAATTACTAAACTCTGATTCAAGCTCAACTTTGGTTTGAACCATACACATTTAAAATTCATCCAACAATGTGTCACTCAGAGGAACATCAGCTTTGTTACTCATATTTACTCATGCTGTAACAAATGATTTCTTAAAACAATAAACTGCCAACTTAATATAAAGTGTGACCGGATACATTCTCATGGATTGATGCGGTAGCTTTGTTTCAATGTGTATTTGTTCTAAACTGTACTTAAGTGATTCATATTTTTACAATTTTTCATAATTGATTTTATGCAAATGATCTACAGGGTGAAAGAAGGGGAAACTCTGCACCAACCAGTGTTACCCAAAACAGTCTACAACTTCTTATTATGCTGGTTTTCCATCAAACCATTGTTTTAATTTGAACTGTTGATGGCTTGGCTGGGTCTATTGTTGCTCAAACAAGTCTCTGAAAGGATGGCTTGTAAAAGAAACCAGCATTCAAAATAGTTTCAGGTTGGGGAAGCATTGGAATAATAAACCACTCAGATCTGGAACATTCTGCTGAAATGCAAGACTCAGTAAGAGACAACTTTGCAATTAATGGGCTTCATTGGACAACATATGGCTAGTAACTAACAGCAGCTAGTAAGGAACAGCAGCAGTGTCACTTTGAGGATATAGAAAAGTGATGTCCCAACTTTACTCCTAGAGGGCCATGGACATACTTGTTTTCATTTGAACAACTTACATATGCATTTGCTGCTGCCATTAACACTGCCAAATTCTGATGCTTAAGCTCAATTCAGAAACTAGTGATTGCAATTTGAACAGTCAACGTAAGGTTTGTGCTGCATATTTGTAAACTGTACAAATGTGGTCCACATCCAATATTGTGCATTAATTAGGTTGAGAGCTAGTTTGGTCCCTTGGACTTAATGACACCACTCATTAGTGCAGAGAAATAAAAAAAGTAGCAGCCCTCGAGGAAGAGAATTTCACACCCCAGTTTTTGCAGAGCCTACACTCTTGAGGAATACACCCTTGTGGTAGAGGATTGTGGGTAACGTAGTGCATGCAGAAGAGAATAGCTTAGCCCCATGCTTGGGCGGCACTAGTCTTGAGTGGCTTGGTTATTTTGTGGTGAGTTTCTGCTGAATTAGTTTATATTTGAGCAGCTCTTGTTCGGAGACGGACGGTTTGAGGCAATCCAATGCTTGGTTAAAGTCTTCGGCAGACAGCATGAGAGGAGTATCCTCTGTGTCCAGACCTGAGAGGGAGTGAGAGAAATGGAGGGGCAGAGGAAACATTCAAAAGAGAGAATATATGAGTAGAAGGGGGTTGGGAGAGAAAGGAGAGTGTGAAAGAGATAAATAAGTCCCTATTGCGCTTGTTACTGATGCTTGAGGTTGTCATAGGGCTCTAGGAACTGAGACGGTCATCTCTTAAAATGCTATTAACAGTACATATGACATGTGTATGACATGGGTATTTAGAAAGGATGATATGAAAGAATGGTATTTTATATATTTTCCAGTACATCATTTATAATGGTTTAAGTTTTTGTGGAATGAAAAATTCATAGAGAAACATAATTGCCACAAATTTTGCGCTGCAGTAAAAAATTCTGAAAATGACTGAATTATCTCTTAATTTGTGTCCATGTGTTGCTAAAATAAGATACATTCATGTTATGGTTTGTTTCTACATGATATGAGGGGTTGTAGGGATAGGACAAATGCAAGAATGCAGTAGATAAAAAAAAAATGGGTTTATAGCATTGAGACTATAGATTTTATAGGCACATTATTTGGGTACAGTATATTGTCCACATAGATTTTCTTTTAAAACTCAAAAAGTATGTTTTTCAATAAATGGACAAGATAAAGATAGCATTGAAGAGCATGACGGTTGACCATTCTATTTAAATGTAAATATCAAAAGAGGAACTGTTGTATTTTCAATTGATTAGACCGTTTGTATAGCCCACTAATGTGAACTGAGGTACTGAGGCAATCGTACATCACAGTTTGCCATGCTTCGGTTTCAGGCAGGCTTTCAAATTTCTGTGTTTAAGCCAACAATTATAGTTTTTACACCTTAAGGAGGATTTTTAACAGACCTTTACAAGGAAAACATACACGTCTCAATTTGTGAGGGCCAAACGTACCGTCAGTGACACATGCAATCTTCCTCTTAATGGCAGACATCATGGCGTCGGAGCAGAGAGCATACATGTCCGCCCCTGTGAGCTGAGGAGGGCAGCGCTCCACCACATCCTGGAGACTGACACTGGGGTCCACCTTGAACCTGAGAGCACAGAAACACACAGACACACATTGCAATTAACATATAGCACAAATATCATACAGTGCATTCGGAAAGTATTCAGACCCCTTGACCTTTTCCACATTTTGTTACATTACAGCCTTATTCTAAAATGGATTTTTTTTTTTTTATTATCCTTCTCAATCTACACTCAATAACCCATCATGATCAAGTAAAAACAGGTTTTTAGAAATGTTTGCAAATGTATTAAAAATTAAAAACGGTAATATTACATTTACATAAGTATTCAGACCCTTTACTCAGTACTTTATTGAAGCACCTTTGGCAGCGATTACAGCCTCAAGTCTTCTTGGGTATGACGCTATAACCTTGGCACACCTGTATTTGGGGAGTTTCTCCCATTCTTCTCTGCAGATCCTCTCAAGCTCTGTCAGGTTGGATGGGGAGCGTCGCTGCACAGCTATTTTCAGGTCTCTCCAGAGATGTTCGATCGGGTTCAAGTCCAGGCCCTGGCTGGGCCACTCAAGGACATTCAGACTTGTCCCAAAGCCACTCCTGCGTTGTCTTGGCTGTGTGCTTAGGGTCGTTGTCCTGTTTGAAGGTGAACCTTCACCCCAGTCTGAGGTCCTGAGCACTCTGGAGCAGGTTTTCATCAAGGATCTCTCTGTACTTTGCTCCGTTCATCTTTCCCTCAATCCTGACTAGTCTCCCAGTCCCTGACCCTGAAAAACATCCCCACAGCATGGTGCCTGGTTTCCTCCAGACGTGATGCTTGGCATTCAGGCCAAAGAGTTCAATCTTGGTTTCATCAGATCAGAGAATCTTGTTTCTCATGGTCAGAGTCCTTTAGGTGCCCTTTGGCAAACTCCAAGCGGCCTGTCATGTGCATTTTACTGAGGAGTGGCTTCCGTCTGGCCACTTTACCATAAAAGGTATCTCCCATCTCCACAGAGGAACTCTGTCAGAGTGACCATCGGGTTCTTGGTCACCTCCCTGACCAAGGCCCTTTTCCCCCGATTGCTCAGTTTGGCCGGGCGGCCAGTTCTAGGAAGAGTCTTGGTGGTTTCAAACTTCTTCCATTTAAGAATGATGGAGGCCACTGTTCTTGGGACCTTCAATGCTGCTGAAAATGTTTTGTACCCTTCCCCAGATCTGTGCCTCGACACAATCCTGTCTCGGAGCTCTACGGACAATTCCGTCAACCTCATGGCTTGGTTTTTGTGCTGACATGCACTGTCAACTGTGGGACCTTATATAGACAAGTGTGTGCCTTTCCAAACCATGTCCAATCAATTTAATTTACCACAGGTGGAATCCAATCAAGTTGTAGAAATATCTCAAGGATGATCAATGGAAACAGGATGCACCTGAGCTCAATTTCAGTCTCATGTATGTCTGCATCACTTCCAATCCCATGTTTTGTATTTTATTTTTTTTATATAGATAGTTATATTCCCTTTTTACTTTCAACCACCATCCTTCCCACTGGAGTAATTAGTGAACACAACGCCGGCCTCTACTTCGGTCTAAAACTATCTCACTTATGAGACGAGTTAATTACATAATTCTATATATATATATTATCATAGTATCATATAATAATTATTTAAATATATTATATATCAAAAGAAAAAAAAAAAAAATGTCTAATACATGTAAATAAGGTATCTGTTTATATTTAATACATTTGCAAAATATTCTAAAAAACTGTTTTTGCTTTGTCATTATGGGTTATCGTGTGTAGATTGATGAGGGGGGGAAATGTATTTAATCCATTTTAGAATAAGGCTGTAACGTAACAAAATGTGGAAAAAGTCAAGGGGTCTGAATACTTTCCGAATGCACTGTATGTTTGCAGCACATTTCTGCACTTTCACCTTGATTCTGCGAGGATAACTATTGAAAAAAACACCTGTAGTGTTACCAGCTTTTTGTTGTTCATGTTTGACAATAAATTATAATCAGGCAGGACACACTTACTTTCTGACTATGGCCTTCAAAACTTGCAGCTGAGACTCTTTGTCTTCATTGATCCCAACATACACCAATTTGTCAAACCTGAAAGAGCAGCAGAGGAAACCATAAGGTCAAAAACATGATGGAAAATACAAAAAAAGTATTTTAGAACAATAAAGTACAGCCATTTGGTGGCTTGTCCAACATCTAAATGTTGACTTTTTCAAAAGGTACATGTCTGTAGGAGTTTACTGCATAAACATCTGCTTTGTGAGGTGACTCACACTGATTGGCTCGACAAACCGCCATTTGAATCTCACCTGCCAGGTCTGAGCAATGATTGATCGAGCAGGTCTGGTCGGTTGGTGGCTCCAATCACAAACACGTCCCCAGAGGAGTGAAGTCCGTCGAGCTCAGCCAGGAGCTGAGAGACCACCCTACAGTTAACAGAGATCAGGTTCAAACAAGGAAGAAGATGAAGTTGTCCTTAGTCACTGATCTATGGTCAGTTTTCTGTTTCCCCCCAATGGTTAAGGTCAGAATTTGGGGAGGATAAACTGATCCTATACAAATGAGGGAAGCAGGGATTTACAAGAAAAGACAGTTGCTGGCAAGCACTGAAAATCTTCAGAATAAGCAAAACACCTTCATAATATTTTAATGCTCCACAAAATAACATTGTGTCAGTACTAAGACTATTCAATATCCACACACTTTCATTGGCCTCATTGAGAGAATAGGAATGTAAAAGGCCCAGTTTCCACTATTAAAAATGTTTGTCAAACAAGGGTGACTCTGGACCTCCAAGATAACCCGTGTTTGTTGCATTATATTTTATATGACGTGCTCTAACTGCTTTGTCGAAATGTAATTTTCTAAAAATTATAATCATTTTCAGTGGTGAATCCTCCAAAGATCAATCCCACCCACCTGTCCATGACTCCACCCGAGTCTCCACTGCGCCCTCTGTTGGGCGCTAGAGAGTCGAGCTCATCAAAGAAGATGATACAGGGGGCCGCTGCTCGAGCTTTGGAGAACACTGAATAACAGAGAGGAAGACCCATTTTATTGGATATCATATGTACAGGACAGTTACATCATAGGCCATTGGCTCTATTTGATACACTGCCGATTTTGCAGGTTTTCCTACTTACAAAGCATGTAGAGGTCTGTCATTTTTATCATAGGTACACTTCAACTGTGAGAGACGGAATCTAAAACAAAAATCCAGAAAAATCACATTGTAAAATGCAAATGAAGTAATTCATTTGCATTTTATTGCATGACATAAGTATTTGATACATCAGAAAAGCAGAACTTAATATTTGGTACAGAAACCTTTGTTTGCAATTACAGAGATCATATGTTTCCTGTAGGTCTTGACCAGGTTTGCACACACTGCAGCAGGGATTTTGGCCCACTCCTCCATACAGACCTTCTCCAGATCCATCAGGTTTCGGGGCTGTCGCTGGGCAATACGGACTTTCAGCTCCCTCCAAATATTTTCTATTGGGTTCAGGTCTGGAGACTGGCTAGGCCACTCCAGGACCTTGAGATGCTTCTTACGGAGCCACTCCTTAGTTGCCCTGGCTGTGTGTTTTGGGTTGTTGTCATGCTGGAAGACCCAGCCACGACCCATCTTCAATGCTCTTACTGAGGGAAGGAGGTTGTTGGCCAAGATCTCGCGATACATGGCCCCATCCATCCTCCCCTCAATACGGTGCAGTCGTCCTGTCCCCTTTGCAGAAAAGCATCCCCAAAGAATGATGTTTCCACCTCCATGTTTCACAGTTGGGATGGTGTTCTTGGGGTTGTACTCATCCTTCTTCTTCCTCCAAACACGGCGAGTGGAGTTTAGACCAAAAAGCTCTATTTTTGTCTCATCAGACCACATGACCTTCTCCCATTCCTCCTCTGGATCATCCAGATGGTCATTGGCAAACTTCAGATGGGCCTGGACATGCGCTGGCTTGAGCAGGGGGACCTTGCGTGTGCTGCAGGATTTTAATCCATGACGGCGTAGTGTGTTACTAATGGTTTTCTTTGAGACTGTGGTCCCAGCTCTCTTCAGGTCATTGACCAGGTCCTGCCGTGTAGTTCTGGGCTGATCCCTCACCTTCCTCATGATCATTGATGCCCCACGAGGTGAGATCTTGCATGGAACCCCAGACCAAGGGTGATTGACCGTCATCTTGAACTTTCCATTTTCTAATAATTGCGCCAACAGTTGTTGCCTTCTCACCAAGCTGCTTGCCTATTGTCCTGTAGCCCATCCCAGCCTTGTGCAGGTCTACAATTTTATCCCTGATGTCCTTACACAGCTCTCTGGTCTTGGCCATTGTGGAGAGGTTGGAGTCTGTTTGATTGAGTGTGTGGACAGGTGTTTTTATACAGGTAACGAGTTCAAACAGGTGCAGTTAATACAGGTAATGAGTGGAGAACAGGAGGGCTTCTTAAAGAAAAACTAACAGGTCTGTGAGAGCCGGAATTCTTACTGGTTGGTAGGTGATCAAATACTTATGTCATGCAATAAAACGCAAATTAATTACTTAAAAATCATACAATGTGATTTTCTGGATTTTTGTTTTACATTCTGTCTCTCACAGTTGAAGTGTACCTATGATAAAAATTACAGACCTCTACATGCTTTGTAAGTAGGAAAACCTGCATAATCGGCAGTGTATCAAATACTTGTTCTCCCCACTGTATATGTAGACTTGACCTCTGGTCTTCACTAGTATGTTTTCAGACAATGCAACAGGAGCATGAAGAACAAGAAGCACTTGTTGGATATTTGTTGGATATCACACAGACGTGTCGGTCAATAGACCTTCATCAGGGTTTTACAGAGAGGTGTAAACTGCTCTGCTTTTGAAATGCACAACGCATACAGTTGATTGCATCTATTCAACTAGGGCCCGATTTAGAGTTGAGATAAGCGCGTGCAATGCAGAAAAGGTCAATTTGACTAAACCTTACTGGCAAGCCATGCGCCCAGCCCAGGGGAGTTGAACAAACAGCCATATTCAGGTCAAACAGTAATCTAAACCCACTACTACACTCACCCTCTCTTACGTTCTCCTCGCTTTGACCCACGTACATGTTGATGAGTTCCGGGCCTTTGACACTAAACGAAGGGGAAGACAAAGCCATCAGGATTCAAGCACAATCATTCAACTGAATGTGTGAAACAAATATGGATGATATGCTTATTCACCACAAGACGCTCATTACCCGGTGTCGGGCTCAGGGGGGTGCAACATTACAGAACAATCAGATATACAGTGAGGGAAAAAAGTATTTGATCCCCTGCTGATTTTGTACATTTGCCCACTGACAAAGAAATGATCAGTCTATAATTTTAATGGTAGGTTTATTTGAACATTGAGAGACAGAATAACAACAAAAAAATCCAGAAAAACGCATGTAAAAAATGTTATAAATTGATTTGCATTTTAATGAGGGAAATAAGTATTTGACCCCCTCTCAATCAGAAAGATTTCTGGCTTCCAGGTGTCTTTTATACAGGTAACGAGCTGAGATTAGGAGCACACTCTTAAAGGGAGTTCTCCTAATCTCAGTTTGTTACCTGTATAAAAGACACCTGTCCACAGAAGCAATCAATCAATCAGATTCCAAACTCTCCACCATGGCCAAGACCAAAGAGCTCTCCAAGGATGTCAGGGACAAGATTGTAGACCTACACAAGGCTGGAATGGGCTACAAGACCATCGCCAAGCAGCTTGGTGAGAAGGTGACAACAGTTGGTGTGAGTATTCGCAAATGGAAGAAACACAAAAGAACTGTCAATCTCCCTTGGCCTGGGGCTCCATGCAAGATCTCACCTCGTGGAGTTGCAATGATCATGAGAACGGTGAGGAATCAGCCCAGAACTACACGGGAGGATCTTGTCAATGATCTCAAGGCAGCTGGGACCATAGTCACCAAGAAAACAATTGGTAACACACTACGCCGTGAAGGACTGAAATCCTGCAGTGCCCGCAAGGTCCCCCTGCTCAAGAAAGAACATATACATGCCCGTCTGAAGTTTGCCAATGAACATCTGAATGATTCAGAGGAGAACTGGGTGAAAGTGTTGTGGTCAGATGAGACCAAAATCGAGCTCTTTGGCATCAACTCAACTCGCCGTGTTTGGAGGAGGAGGAATACTGCCTATGACCCCAAGAACACCATCCCCACCGTCAAACATGGAGGTGGAAACATTATGCTTTGGGGGTGTTTTTCTGCTAAGGGGACAGGACAACTTCACCGCATCAAAGGGACGATGGACAGGGCCATGTACCATCAAATCTTGAGTGAGAACCTCCTTCCCTCAGCCAGGGCATTGAAAATGGGTCGTGGATGGGTATTCCAGCATGACAATGACCCAAAACTCACGGCCAAGGCAACAAAGGAGTGGCTCAAGAAGAAGCCCATTAAGGTCCTGGAGTGGCCTAGCCAGTCTCCAGACCTTAATCCCATAGAAAATCTGTGGAGGGAGCTGAAGGTTCGAGTTGCCAAACTTCAGCCTCGAAACCTTAATGACTTGGAGAAGATCTGCAAAGAGGAGTGGGACAAAATCCCTCCTGAGATGTGTGCAAACCTGGTGGCCAACTACAAGAAACGTCTGACCTCTGTGATTGCCAACAAAGTTTTTGCCACCAAGTACTAAGTCATGTTTTGCAGAGGGGTCAAATACTTATTTCCCTCATTAAAATGCAAATCAATTCATAACATTTTTGACATGCGTTTTTCTGGATTTTTTTGTTGTTATTCTGTCTCTCACTGTTCAAATAAACCTACCATTAAAATTATAGACTGATCATGTCTTTGTCAGTGGGCAAACGTACAAAATCAGCAGGGGATCAAATACTTTTTTCCCTCACTGTACATATATTATGTAGAACAAGACACACTTCTCCGTCACTTAGAATAGGGAATGTTGGCTCTACATAAAAAAATATATATCTGCAACATTCCATGACATTTCTCCAGCTTTCTCATCCCTTTTACCTGACACCAAGGACGTGTCCATTCGGGAGAAAACTTTTGAGGGAAACAGGGAGGTGCTATCTGAACACTTTTTTCCGTTGCAACCGTTTCGCTACAGTGTGCCCTACTGAACTTGACCCAGTCTTCCAGTCTCCTCTGGTTGTCTCCTACCTGAGGAAGGTCATGGAGCACTCGGTAGCCACGGCCTTGGCCAGCAGGGTTTTGCCCGTGCCGGGGGGCCCGTAGAGGAGCAGCCCGGCTCGGCGCAGGCCCAGGGACAGCAGCTCGGGCCTCTCCAGGGGCAGCTGCACCGTGTCAAGGATCTCCCGCTTCACCTGCTGCAGGCCGCCAACGTCCTGCCAGCGCACACTGGGGATCTGACCCCACACACACACACAGGAATGTTACACTTTCCCTCCATAAGCAGTTGATCAGTGTCCGTCTCCTCTGAGCCAGTGAAACATGGGCTACAGTCCAATTCTCTTCCCATCTCGTGAAGTGTGCACTCGTACACTTCCCCTCATTTAAAAGGAATGGACTGGTGTGAAGAATATGGTGGAAACTCCCTCCAGCCATGCTTGCACCAATCCAATGCTTTTTTAAATGCATGAGGGGGAGTGAACGAGTGCACACTTCTGGAGAAGTACCAGAGCCATGGGTTTCATCTAAACTGCTAAAAAAATCTTGTCTCTCCTTTATCTGCACTGACAGGAAAACAACATGGTGGACGGTCATTAGGCTGGCTTTCACCTGGGCAGTTCTTTCAGACCAATGCAATGTAGGAAAGGGACGATTATTTAGATAATTGAGAAATAGCCACGCGCCCCATTTTCGGGGTGTACCTTTGGGGCGCCGATGGCCTGAGAGTGGGCATCTTGGAGGGTCTCCAATGCATTGGTGAAGTCCTGGGCCAGGACGGTTACCCCACAGGCACAGAGGTCCTCTTCCTCCTGCACACTGGCCCCCTCTGGGAAACTGAACAAAAATGCCTGCTTCAGTCATTCTGTAGTGGTATGATATCCTTTTGATATAATTCCCTAGCATAGGTTATCTCTAGAATGCTAAAAAGATCGTTCAGTCATCAGTAGTAGTCTTAGTCTAGTAGCAGTGAAGCATATGTAGCGTAGTAGTCTAGAGCAGTAGTACCGTAGTAGTCAGTAGTAGCGTAGTTAGACCAGTAGAGTAGTAGTAGAGAGTAGCCGTAGTAAGTGTAGTAGCATAGTAGTAGAGTAGTAGTTAGTAGCAGTAGTCGTTAGTATGTCAGTAGTACCGTAGTAGTAGTCGTATGCAGTAGTAGAGTAGTAGTCGTAGTGAGAGTATGGTAGCCGTAGTAGCAGTAGTAGTAGCAGTTAGGGTAGTGTAGTACGTTAGCAGTAGTAGCGTAGCAGTAGTAGCGTTAGTAGCCGTAGTATAGTACAGTAGTAGCCGTAGTAGTTAGCAGTAGTAGTAGTAGCAGTATACAGTAGTAGTAGCTAGTAGTCGTAGTCAGTAGTAGTATCGTAGTGCAGTAGTAGATGTCGTAGTGCATAGTAGCAGTCGTTAGCAGTAGTAGCAGTAGTAGTCGTAGTAGCAGTAGAAAACTTGGTTATGAAATTGGCTTTGCAGCAGAATTATATTCATAAAATCAACAGAGACAATCACAAGGAATAGGACACAATATACAACATAACAAGAAGAACACATTGCGTATAGTTGCTAGAGTTCAGCGGATATTCAGTGGGGAAGAGCAATTGCGGGAGGAAAACTCACCAGGATTGGAGTATCCTTCTGTGGGCGGCTTTACCAGCCTGAGTCAGCAGTGCACTGAGGTCCCCCAATAGAAAGCCCTGGGAGTCGAGAGAGAAATATAAAAAGAGGACAGAGGGGGAGGTGTTAGAAGGATCATCAAAAGTCACTGTCCTTCCGAATCAAATGTGTCTCTTCCACAAAACTAAACTCACTTCCATAGATTCTCAATTGGTCTCTAAACCAATCGGGTGCCTTTTAAATCCTTGAAGGGGGATGTGAACAAGTGAACGCATCAGAAATATTGGGGAGAATCAGAATTGGGCTGGTGTCTATGAAGTATGAATATAATGGCTAAACCATGCTAAGGATCTCACCGCAGTGTGCTTGGCCAGCCTGGACAGGTTGACGTCCCTCCCCAGGGGCAGGCCCTCGCTGAGGCTGGCCAGCATAGCCCGGCGCTGCTCCTCACTGGGGCTCTCTATCGACACCTGGTGGATAAAGGCTGCCATCACGTCAGACGACAGCTCCCGGGGCTTACTCACCGCCGCCACCACGACCACGCTAAGAGGGAGAGAGAGAGGACAGTGACGGAGGTTACACACGTAGCCGTTCCTTCTGTATGCGCGTGCAGGCAGTAGCTTACAGTAGTAGTAACAAAGGCACCGCATACATCGATTGAATTGTAACCTTGGTTAAGATGGATGGGCTACCTGGAAGGGGTGTGGGCAATGAACTGGCACAGGGCGGCCATGACCCTGGCATCCTCCTCGGTGCCATCCCTGGGCTGGCCCAGCAGCTGCAGGTTCCTGAGCAGCAGGATGCACGGCCGGTGGGCCTCAGCTCGCTGGAAGACAGACTTCATCTTGGCCTCACAGGCGGCGGCCGTGTCAGCGCAGAGGGTCACGCAGTCCACCTGCACAGGGGGCAGAGAGAGAGGAACATTTCCAAATATTTGACATAAGCAACTTAAAGAGCCACTGAACACGCCGATTGGCACGTGTGTTTTCCTGACCAGTTCGGCATTTAATTATGTTTGTCCTCCATGAGACACTGTAGCCTATTTCACTTCCTCAAAATCTCCAGAATGAATCTAAGATAACTCATCAAATCTGTAATTATTTTGACGTTTTTGCAGATTATGTTTTAGTTGCGCAATTTTACATCTAACTAAGGTTTTTAGTGCAGTATTTCTCAAGTCACAAAATGTGCAAGCTGTTGTCTTATGTAAACAAAGTCGGAGCTGCTGTGCAGTCTGTCTCACTGTCTATGCTATTGGATAGAGAGCAATCACCGCAGCGGTTCACCCCATGTTAGTGGGCAAATGGACATCTTCAAATCAAAACCCAACCTTAATTATCCGTTGTGACGCATTGATGTGCCAAACTCCGTTTTAGACGAGAGTGACTTAATTACCAAAATTATCCTATTTACACTTTGTAGTCAATTTTGACACTAGAATAAATGTTTCTAAGTCCTATCAATGCCACATAGGCCATTTTCAAAGGAATTAGTTGCTTTTTAAAGGTAGTCGCTCTTTAAGACTAAAGTTAAGTCCCATAACGACAGATCTCCATCTCAGTGCTGGAACTGACTCAATGTAAGCTTTGTTTTCGTCACATATCTATTAGGAGCCTTGGGAGAAAAAGTGTGTACTTTGTGTATTGACTTACAAAGAAAAGTGGCTGGATAGCCTTAGATTTGATCCGCTCACAGACTGTATTTGACACTAAATTAAATCTTACTAAAAATAAAAACTACTACTTTAATGTCCCAAACTTGTAGCGCGTGCCTCAATTCTAATGGCTATAGAGCCAGTAACCCCAGAAAAACTAACACATGTACATTTGTATTTTAATTCAAATCTTGTAATAAGCCAGTTGTGTGATCCTGAAGGATACCTTCACTAAGTGTAGATGGAGTCTACGGCATGCAGCTCTGACTGAGGTGAATTTGCCATTTCCACTCGGTCCCAGAAGGAGGATGGTGCATCCGCTCGTCAGAGCAGCAGAGCTTTAAAAAAATAAATAAAATAAAAATAATAGACAAGTCAGCATAGACATACAAAGGAGTGTGGATAACAGTTCTTCTACATACAGTATCCTGTTATATTGTCTCTGACTAAATCTTGTTCACTTACACTTTACATATTGTTTACCGTGTTGCCCTGGGTCCGCGGTATCAGCTGACATATACAAGCCAATCATGGTAAACGTGATGATTTGAATTGCATTTATGTCCGTTTTCAGGAAGATGCCCTACCTGAACTACCTGAACTTCCAATAAGATGTCAGATAAGAAACTCTTGTTTCTGTTGCAAAGCATTTTCCATTGCAAAACTTTTTGCTACGGTTTGCACTAATGAATACGGCCCAGTTGCGTAAGATGATGTCATCCTGCTGAGTTAACACTGACCTGTCATTCATGTGAGGCTGGATGATAGTGGAGAATTGGTCCACGGTGCTGGAGAGCCCAGGAGGAGACAGGCTAGTCCAGAGGGAAGGCTCCTCGCCAACAAGGGAACAGGGAGCCAGGCTATTGGTGGAGCCGCCCTAAAAGGACAAGTAATATGCATGGGAGGTGTCACAATTGCAAAAACTGGAGAAACCTCGTCATTTTTGGAGACAGGTGTTTGAAGCAGCAGAAGAGTGTAGGAGCGGTTGCTAAATAACTGTAAACAACTTTAGCTGACTAGCGGATCATCTTGGCCAACTGTGGGGTGAAACAATTCTCTCATTTATCGTTAATTAGCCACCGCAAATTGCTTTGCTAGCAAATGCGATGCCGTCTCCAAAATTGCAAGGGGTTTCCAGTCATGTTTACTTTGACGTTTGTGACGTCTCTACTTTTAGGCTAGTAGCCAATCCTCAAAAAGGGCTTTCGTTTTCATAATGAGACAGATCCTCTCCAACCTGGCATTTCTTCATAATGAGACAGATCCTCTCCAACCTGGCATTTCTTCATAATGAGACAGATCCTCTCCAACCTGGCATTTCTTCATAATGAGACAGATCCTCTCCAACCTGGCATTTCTTCATAATGAGACAGATGCTCTCCAACCTGGCATTTCTTCATAATGAGACAGATCCTCTCCAACCTGGCATTTCTTCATAATGAGACAGATCCTCTCCAACCTGGCATTTCTTCATAATGAGACAGATCCTCTCCAACCTGGCATTTCTTCATAATGAGACAGATCCTCTCCAACCTGGCATTTCTTCATAATGAGACAGATCCTCTCCAACCTGGCATTTCTTCATAATGAGACAGATCCTCTCCAACCTGGCATTTCTTCATAATGAGACAGATCCTCTCCAACCTGGCATTTCTTCATAATGAGACAGATCCTCTCCAACCTGGCATTTCTTCATAATGAGACAGATCCTCTCCAACCTGGCATTTCTTCATAATGAGACAGATCCTCTCCAACCTGGCATTTCTTCATAATGAGACAGATCCTCTCCAACCTGGCATTTCTTCATAATGAGACAGATCCTCTCCAACCTGGCATTTCTTCATAATGAGACAGATCCTCTCCAACCTGGCATTTCTTCATAATGAGACAGATCCTCTCCAACCTGGCATTTCTTCATAATGAGACAGATCCTCTCCAACCTGGCATTTCTTCATAATGAGACAGATCCTCTCCAACCTGGCATTTCTTCATAATGAGACAGATCCTCTCCAACCTGGCATTTCTTCATAATGAGACAGATCCTCTCCAACCTGGCATTTCTTCATAATGAGACAGATCCTCTCCAACCTGGCATTTCTTCATAATGAGACAGATCCTCTCCAACCTGGCATTTCTTCATAATGAGACAGATCCTCTCCAACCTGGCATTTCTTCATAATGAGACAGATCCTCTCCAACCTGGCATTTCTTCATAATGAGACAGATCCTCTCCAACCTGGCATTTCTTCATAATGAGACAGATCCTCTCCAACCTGGCATTTCTTCATAATGAGACAGATCCTCTCCAACCTGGCATTTCTTCATAATGAGACAGATCCTCTCCAACCTGGCATTTCTTCATAATGAGACAGATCCTCTCCAACCTGGCATTTCTTCATAATGAGACAGATCCTCTCCAACCTGGCATTTCTTCATAATGAGACAGATCCTCTCCAACCTGGCATTTCTTCATAATGAGACAGATCCTCTCCAACCTGGCATTTCTTCATAATGAGACAGATCCTCTCCAACCTGGCATTTCTTCATAATGAGACAGATCCTCTCCAACCTGGCATTTCTTCATAATGAGACAGATCCTCTCCAACCTGGCATTTCTTCATAATGAGACAGATCCTCTCCAACCTGGCATTTCTTCATAATGAGACAGATCCTCTCCAACCTGGCATTTCTTCATAATGAGACAGATCCTCTCCAACCTGGCATTTCTTCATAATGAGACAGATCCTCTCCAACCTGGCATTTCTTCATAATGAGACAGATCCTCTCCAACCTGGCATTTCTTCATAATGAGACAGATCCTCTCCAACCTGGCATTTCTTCATAATGAGACAGATCCTCTCCAACCTGGCATTTCTTCATAATGAGACAGATCCTCTCCAACCTGGCATTTCTTCATAATGAGACAGATCCTCTCCAACCTGGCATTTCTTCATAATGAGACAGATCCTCTCCAACCTGGCATTTCTTCATAATGAGACAGATCCTCTCCAACCTGGCATTTCTTCATAATGAGACAGATCCTCTCCAACCTGGCATTTCTTCATAATGAGACAGATCCTCTCCAACCTGGCATTTCTTCATAATGAGACAGATCCTCTCCAACCTGGCATTTCTTCATAATGAGACAGATCCTCTCCAACCTGGCATTTCTTCATAATGAGACAGATCCTCTCCAACCTGGCATTTCTTCATAATGAGACAGATCCTCTCCAACCTGGCATTTCTTCATAATGAGACAGATCCTCTCCAACCTGGCATTTCTTCATAATGAGACAGATCCTCTCCAACCTGGCATTTCTTCATAATGAGACAGATCCTCTCCAACCTGGCATTTCTTCATAATGAGACAGATCCTCTCCAACCTGGCATTTCTTCATAATGAGACAGATCCTCTCCAACCTGGCATTTCTTCATAATGAGACAGATCCTCTCCAACCTGGCATTTCTTCATAATGAGACAGATCCTCTCCAACCTGGCATTTCTTCATAATGAGACAGATGCTCTCCAACCTGGCATTTCTTCATAATGAGACAGATCCTCTCCAACCTGGCATTTCTTCATAATGAGACAGATCCTCTCCAACCTGGCATTTCTTCGTAATGAGACAGATCCTCTCCAAACTGGCATTTCTTCGTAATGAGACAGATCCTATCCAACCTGGCAACCCAGGTATAACAAAGCAGAACCATGTTTTTCCATATCTCTAAGGTCTCCCATATATTAAATGGATGGTTGTATAATATTTTTTTACTGCAAAAGTGGTTAAATTGATAGATATCGTGGCACACCCCCTTAACGCAAACAGTGCAGAATAATGCCTGGCTGGAGGAGGGGGCGTGGTCCACATAAGCACGTGTCAGTTGTCTGCCCTACAAACACAAAGAAACAATAGTAGGATATCTTAATGCATCTGGGAAATATAGAACTGTAAACACACAGATACAATAGTCGGAAATATCAACTATGAATATTTATAATTCATGTAAACGTTATCTTTTGGTAGCTGTTCAATAGACGACTTTCCAAGTTACATTCTCTCTCATTCAGTGCTGTATGGTCCTGCCTGACAAAAATGCACAATGACACGTTTTGGGGCTCAGACACCGAAAACTGTCATTTTTTTTTTCAGTCAAAGGTTCCTGTGTGGATTGGATATGTTTAGCCCCTACTCTTGCAACTACATTAGGGGGCCCCCTAGATTTGACTCCAAATTAAATATGGTGTCCAAAATCCAATATGGCTGCCACATTACCATGAAATGGTGTTTAAATCACCTGTATATGTTCACATTTTAAGAGATACATTTTTCAGATGTGTACTGCACTTCATCTATGTTAGAAATCCAATATGCCCACCATATACACTCAAACACCTTTGTCTGGATATATAAAAAGGCAGCAGACTGCATGGCATGGCAGCACCAAGTATTCCAAGTCACAAGCCTCTTTGACGGTCAATGAGGCAACTGGGAGGCTCCAACAAAAGGAAAGAGAATCCAACCCTGGGCTCTGACACCCTCTCCCTAGCGCTATAACTTTCCCCCACTGTGATATAGCTTGCCCCTCCAGGATTGGGCTCTTAAGTCACCTCCTTATAATTTAGAAGTGAGCTTTGATTCATTGGTAGTCCAATTCGTCTGCCTGAATCAAACATGACCTTCCACTGGCTCACTGCATTTGTGATGCACATTGGGATGTTCCCGTGCACTTTTATCCTGTTCGGGTTGAGCTGGCACATTGCTTCTTCCAGACAAACATGCCCACCATCCTGGCTGTCTGGCCTGGAGTTGCTGTATATGTTAACTTGGTGACAGTTATGGTGTATGGGGAGAATGCAACCACACATCACAAGCACTAGAATGAACCAACACAACCTGACACTCATTGACAAGAAATGCCATCAACTTCGTGGGCCTTCACATGACATAGGAATTGCATCTCTCCAATGTCAATACCATCCTGAATCTCCCAGAACATTCCTTGATAAGCTCACTCCACCATCAGCCCTTCCCTCTGGCAGTTACTAGAGACAGAGACACCATGGAACTGGACTGCCACATGTCAGGCCATTCACAGCCAAAACGCCATCTGGAAAATGCTGGTGTGCATTGCCCTCATACGTACCCATTTTGCTACCAACCTGAACTGGACTTGCATGTGAAGAATTCGCTTTCACGCTCCTCTGCAACCCTTTTACTGTCCATCAAAGCCCAGGGATCATCTTCAAATGTACGTGTGTGGAGCTGTACTACGTCTCTTACAGCCAACGCTTCTTAGTCTATGACCTAGCTACACTAGCTAACCTCTACGTAACCTGAGGTCACCCTCACAGGTTCTATCACGTTCCACATCTTCTGCTGGGCGTGCCCCAGTCCGTTATCAATGCCAACCACCCACAGTTAATATCGGACAAATTATCATCCTAACTGACTTCCAAAGGAATATAAAGAAATATGTAGAAAAGTATGTTTGTGACAGCCCTTTCACAGACTCTCCTTACAACCAGACAACCAACCATTCCACTACTGGAGTCGCCCAGCATCATTCAGGCTGGGATAACATTCCAGTTAGTCAATGGGTCTCTTTGGTATGCAAGCTGCATCTGCTGACTGACTATACCGAACTGTAGAAATGGAATCACAGCCCCAATAGCCCGCCAGTCATACAGGAAGGATACTGGCCTTATCGCTGCATCTTGCATCTTGCCAAGAATGACCAGTTAACGATGCAAGCACATTAGGCCCCAGAACTACAACCACCACTGGCTAATTTGTCTTCTCACCCTGTAAGGGCACACTCATGTCCTGGTCACCTCAAAGACTTTGAATCAACCTTGCACACGTAGTTTTAGTGGGGAAAAGAGGGCTGTACATATTGTAACAATCCGGTATTGTGTTCTGTGTTCGTGGGTGTGTTATCGTTCTCATGGGTGCTAGCAGGGGTTAAATATGCCAGGACAGATGGAAAGGTTGGGGGGGTATGATGGGTAATCCCGCGGGGTTTTGGAATGCTTAAATAGGGGTTACGGTCTCATCTCTCTCTCTTCTGTTCGGGACCCTTGACTTGACATGTTATATTTGTGTACGTTCGAGGTTTAGCGGCGTGGGCTGTGGCCTGAACAATAGCCCATTCAGGAATAAACCTGTGTTCTGCCTGTACACCTGGTGCCCGTCTCTCTTTTACTTTATGACCCAGCTGGGTCATTACAATATACACTACTAGAGTAGCTGACTGTTGTATTACGGTTGCGGTGTGCTTGCTGTTACGCTACGGTGTGCTTATGTCGTGAAAGAGAAAGGGGGTATACCTAGTCAGTTGCACAACTGAATGCATTCAACCGAAATGCGTCTTCCGTATTTAACCCAACCCGTCTGAATCATAGAGGTGCGGGGGGCTGCCTTAATCGACATCCACATCATCAGCGTCCGGGAGCAGTTGTTGTTGGGGGTTAATAGCCACATCATCAAAAGACATGTAACTGTATGCATTTCTGTCAGGCAGGACCATACAGCACTGAATGAGGGAAAATTTTACTTGGAAAGTTGTCTATTGAACAGCTACCAAAAAGTGAAGTTTACATTCATCATAAATATTCATAGTTGATATTTCCCGACTATTGCATCTGTGTGTTTACAGGTCTATATTTCCAAGATGCATTAAGATATCCTAATGCTGTTTGTTTGTGTATGTAGGGCAGACAGCTGACTACTTGTATTTAACATTTTCACAATATCAGAGCTTGCAATATTGGGTTACATGAGCTTATGTGGCCCACACCCCTCCAGCCAGGCATGATTCTGCACTTTCTGAGTTAAGGGGGTGTGTCACAATATCTATCAATTTAACCACTTTTGCAGTAATATATTTTTACACAACCATCCATTTCATATATGGGAGACCTTAAAGATATGTGAAAACATGGTTGTGTTTTGTTATACCTCAGGTAGGGGTATCTCAACATTTTGGGGGCCTTGCCACTAGCCTATTTCCAAGCATAGTCCTATGGAAATACATACTTCACCACTCAAAAGAGCATGACATAATAATAATAATATAATAACATTACTAGCATTGAACATTCACTTATGCATGCAGTCTTAAAACCGTCTGGATCTGGCTACCGATGTGACATTTTATGTCAAAAGTTCAAACGTACCATGTATAGAGATGTGTGGACAGTGTCTGCCAGGTAAGGACCTTGGTCTTCCTCCTCCTCTGTAGAGCCACAAACCTTTTTCACTTTGAAATACACGACCGGCCACCTAACGAAAGTTCAGAGTTCCAAGTAAGATGAGCGTAATTGAATACCCAATCATGTGCTCATGTAGATTTGACGTAAAGAAGCAAGATATGGTGGCACGCCATATTATCTGACCACACACACACAGTAGTATAGGAGAAACATTTGTTAAAACATTATGGTCAACCTCCCTCTGTTGTTCTGAGTGTAAATGTATAAATAAGTGTAAGCATTAGTCTGCTTGACGCGTGGACCTTGTGATTCCCTCAGAGTTGCTCTCCAAGACTTCAGGATGGCCTTCAGATGGGATTCCCAAAACACCCCCCAGCCGCACAAGTCTGGGAGAGAAGGAACAAAGGTCAAAGATAAAAGGTCAAGTACAGCATGGTGCGTTCAAAACAAATCCTACAGGGAAGATGCAACAAACCAATAACAGTGGGGAAACAGTATGAAGCACAAACCAAGGCCAGGGTCATATTCATTAGTGCACACAATAGCAAAACGTTTTGCAACAAACGGAAAACGGGAGTTTCTTATAGGCCAAATTCAGGTAGTCCCTCCCCAATTTCGGCCAATTCGCTTCCGTTTGGTTACTAATGAACACATTTTTTTATATATAATTAGTACAGATAGAACGGAATAGTATTTCACTAACCTTGGTATGGTAAAGTGCCCACAGAGGATACTGTCAAAGGGACCATGAGAACTGTATTCTGGGGAGATGACAGCATCAATGTGGAGTTCTTTGGCAAATAGCGGTGATGCTGTTCGAGAGAGGCTCTCAGAAAGCTGAGGACCTGACTGAGAAAGGACCTGGTTCCATCTCTGAGAGAATTCAAAGAAATACAGCAAAGAATTCAGCATAATGATCATTATTATGTGTAGACAAATCTGTGTCCCAAATTGTCAGTTGCTTGGATGTTCCAGGATTTGAGAATGGGTGTATATGGGCATGCACATCCCTTTCATATTAAACTTTCCCTTGAACCTATTCAAATTGATTTAGGAGAAAATAGTTGCAATGACAACCTGCATGCAAATGAGAATGGAGGACTTCGCACAACACTTAACTTTCAACTAAAATGTAAGAACAAATATGTACAAATATTTACTCACCTTTATCTTCACAGCTCTGCTACTGACTGGCACTGGCTCTCCATTTGACAAGTTGAACCAATGAGTCGCCGATATGAAGCCAACGTTGTCTTGAAGATCCAACTCGGCACACTTGCTGAAATCTGCCACAACAACCGAGCCGAGGTGGACTCTTTCGGCGCCCTTGGATGGCTCTTTGGCAGATGCGTTCTCATCAGCTTGCCCGGGACTTCGCAGGTAATCGCCTCTGTAGGACGTCTTTGTCATTTCAGATGAGCAGTTAAAACTAGACACCACTACCCACTCACGGTTGAATAACCCGAGTTTGAGCAGCAACTGTTTGCTTACGACAACAGCACTGTCGAAATCGATTTCAGCCTCGGGCTTGTCCACTAGTACAATTCTCCCTTGACGGTACAAGCGAGGTATATCCACGATTCTGACATCCAGCCTACACTCCAGCGCTTGCAAAAAAGCTGAGAAACTCGAGTCCCATACTTGCCTGTTGTCAAGTAATGAGCTTCCCCCGCCAAGACTATTCGCGTAGTGCGCAAAATCAGAGACAAATAGCGAGGTCAAAGTTCTAGTTGCCAAAGCATTATATGTTTCCAGTGCGCCACGTTGCGCGATGTCTCTGCAGTCGGTGACCACCAATGTTGTGTTGATTGTGATCATCCCCTGCGTTACAGGTGTACACTCCAACACAACTAAGTCGAACAGATATTGTTGCACTTGAGATATATCATCTCCAAGTAGAGGGTGATAGGGAAGTGATAGCGAGTCCCCTTGTCGTGCCAATAGTAGTTGCCCTTGGCACGAAGCCAGTATGAGAAGTCCATTGGAAAACGTATCCGAGCTTGCCCACTTGAAACTCTGTCTTGTTCGTGCCCCTATAACAACCTTTCTAAGGGCAAACGGTGACAGTGAGCGTACAGCCCCCCTTATATCATCCTGAAGACCATAGTGTTTGAGAAAGAGCTTACTTGTGTACAGTTTTAAAGTTGTGTTGTTTCCATCCGCCGCACAGCCTGGCGTCTCCTCGTCTGTCGAGTGCGCGCAGAGCAAAACACCAGTTTTCCCGAGTGTTTGACGTATCCGTGAGGTAAATAAAAGGGTCGAAGTAGGCTCATTGCAACTTGGAAACGCATATCTAAATTGTGACTTGAAAACAAGCACGTGCAAAGGATTTAAGTGCGTTGGAAATGTATCTAAACATGACAGTTCAACCTGAGCTGCCATGTTCGAAAAAAATGATTGCGCAATATTTTGTCCGGAAGTGAAAGCAGCTCGGGTGAAACAAGTCTTTCCCAAACGTTCCTTTGAAGACTGAATAAAACATTAACTTTTGCAATTTATAGATAGACCTACAAAAAGTATCTGTAAATAACAAAAATAAACTCTCTGAATAATGAAATAAGAAAAATGCACGCTCACAGCATATTGCATAGGGCTTACTAAGTACAAAATGCACAGCATGTTTACGCCTCGATCACACCGACAGTGCTTTACATTTTGGTACACCAGAAGTACATTCATTTCCAATGGAACGCTGCGTTTGTCTTACAGCATTGCATTGCAGAGGCAGTTAAGCCTCCATCCCACTGACAGTGTTATTACGCAAAATAGTACGTAGCGTCATCTGGATATGTGTGCAACAAAAGTTCAACATTGACCTTCTGCTAGCATTTCTGTCAAGCCCTCTACGCATACAGTTCGATAAATCCAACGCTTGCACCACACAGAACACACTGCAACTGCCTCTGCAACACAATGCTGCAAGGCAAACACAGCGTTCCATTGGAAATGTACTTCTGGTGTACCAAAATGCAATGACACTGTCCTGTGATCGGGGCATTACAGTGCGTTCTGTGTGGTTCATACATTGGATTGATTTATCGAATGTAGCCTATGCATCAAACATGGTTGCCATGTTCTCCGAATATGTAAGGGATAGGCTAATCAACGAGGGTCTATGCGTTCTATGGAAAATAATGAACAACCTGGATAGTGTGTTCCACCATGTGCTAGTGGAGTGGGACTAACCTTCCACAGAGTTGCATTATTTTCCAGAGAATGAATAGAGCCCCGAGTTGATTATCCCTTTTATGCCATGACTTTAACATGTTGGCGCTAGAAATGTGCTCATTTGCTGGTAGAAATGTGTTCAACATCCACTGAAGTAGCTACAGTAGTTGCCTTGGTAACCAAACCAGCTAGTTTAGCCAACCAAACCATCAGTCCTAGCTTGCTATTATGAAAATCAAATTCAACAATTACAACAATGTTTTCAATTCGACTTTTTCTTTCAAAAGCAGCTCAAACATAGAACATGTAAGAATGAACTATAGCCATTTAATTATACCGTGCTGATATACCGTGCATTATAAGGAATTATAAACGGTGGTTCAAGCCCTGAATGCTGATTGGCTGACAGGCGTGGTATATCAGAACGTATACCACGGGTATGACAAAACATTTATTTTTACTGCTCTAATTACGTTGGTAACCAGTTTATAATAGCAATAAGGCACCTCGGGCCAGTCGAAATCATGAATCAGCTGGCATCATTTTCATGGATATATAAAAATAAAGGTAAATTGAAAAAAGGTAAAACTAAACAAAGTGCAGCTAGGTTGCAGTCTTTCCAGCTTCAGTTTGAAGTTATTGTGTTAGCTGTGTTGTTGGTTAGCTCCTCTGAACAACAGTGTCCTGACAAGAGAGCACATTTTCTATGCCAGGCGAAATCGCGCCTCATTAGCTCATTGTTATGGATGTGTCCAAATAAATGTCACTAGAAAACAGCTTAAACAAATGCAAATGCAGTTACTTTGTTGTTATTCTGACTGCACTGTTTGACGTGACTGTAAGTTAGGCATAGTTGGCTAGCTAGCAAGCAAGGGATAAGAACGTTGCCAGCTAGGGCCTTCCGAGTGGGGCAGCGGTATAATGCACTGCATCGCAGTGCTAGAGGCATCACTACAGAACCGGGTTTGATCCCGGGCTGTATCACAACCGGCCGTGATCAGGAGTTCCATAAGCGGCGAACAATTGGCCCAGCGTCGTCCGGGTTAGGGGAGGGTTTGGCCGGGGAGTCTTTACTTGACTCATCACGCTCTAGCGACTCCTTGTGACGGGCCAGGCGCCTGCAGGCTGACTTCGGTTGCCAGTTTTACGGTGTTTCCTCCGACACATTGGTGTGGCTGGCTTCCGGGTTAAGCGAGCAGTGTGTCAAGAAGCAGTGCGGTTTAGCAGGGTCGTGTTTCGTAGGACGCATGGCTCTTGAACCTTCGCCTCTCCCGAGTCCGTACGGGAGTTGCAGCAATGGGACAAGACTGTAACTGCCAATTGGATATCACGAAATTGGGGACAAAAAGGGGTGAAAAGTTAAAAGAAATTAAACAAAAAAAAGAAAAAGCCAGATGTGAAGGTCCTGGGCTGGCGTGGTTATACATGGTCTGCGGTTGTGAGGCTGGTTGGACGTACTGCCAAATTCTCTAAAACAACGATGCATTATCTTGGCAAAGGATAAATGCTCGCTAACAGGGATGTAAACATTTTTGTGCACAACATTTGAGAGAAATAAGCTTTTTGTGCATATGGAACATTTTACATGAGTATGTATAAAAAACTCAGCAAAAAAAGAAACTGCCTTTATTTTCAGCAAACTTAACATGTGTAAATATTTGTATGAACATAACAAGATTTAACAACTGAGACATAAACTGAACAAGTTCCACAGACATGTGACTAACAGAAACAACAAAGGGGGGGTCAAAATCAAAAGTAACAGTCAGTATTTGGTGAGGCCACCAGCTGCATTAAGCACTGCAGTGCATCTCCTCCTCATGGACTGCACCAGATTTGCCAGTTCTTGCTGTGAGATGTTACCCCACTCTTCCACCAAGGCACCTGCAAGTTCCCTGACATGTCTGTGGGGAATGGCCCTAGCCCTCACCCTCCGATCCAACAGGTCCCAGATGGGCTCAATGAGATTGAGATCCGGGCTCTTCGCTGTCCATGGCAGAACACTGACACTCCTGTCTTGCAGGAAATCACGCACAGAACGAGCAGTATGGCTGGTGGCATTGTCATGCTGGAGGGTCAGGATGAGCCTGCAGGAAGGGTACCACATGAGGGAGGAGGATGTCTTCCCTGTAATGCACAGCGTTGAGATTGCCTGCAATGACAACAAGCTCAGTCCGATGATGCTGTGACACAACGCCCCAGACAATGACGGACCTTCCACCTCCAAATCGATCCCGCTCCAGAGTACAGGCCTCGGTGTAACGCTCATTCCTTCGACGATAAACACGAATCCGACGATCACCCCTGGTGACACAAAACCGCGACTCGTCAGTGAAGAGCACTTTTTGTCAGTTCTGCCTGGTCCAGCGACTGTGGGTTTGTGCCCATAGACAATGTTGTTGCCAGTGATGTCTGGTGAGGACCTGCCTTACAACAGGCCTACAAGCCCTCAGTCCAGCCTCTCTCAGCCTATTGCGGACAGTCTGAGTACTGATGGAGGGATTGTGCGTTCCTGGTGTAACTTGGGCAGTTGTTGTTGCCATCCTGTACCTGTCCCGCAGGTGTGATGTTCGGATGTACTGATCCTGTGCAGGTGTTGTTACACGTGGTCTGCCACTGCGAGGACGATCAGCTGTCCGTCCTGTCTGCCTGTAGTGCTGTCTTAGGCGTCTCACAGTACGGACATTTCAATTTATTGCCCTGGCCACATCTGCAGTCCTCATGCCTCCTTGCAGCACGCATAAGGCACGTTCACGCAGATGAGCAGGGACCCTGGGCATCTTTCTTTTGGTGTTTTTCAGAGTCAGTAGAAATGTCTCTTTAGTGTCCCAAGTTTTCATAACTGTGACCTTAATTGCCTACCGTCTGTAAGCTGTTAGTGTCTTAACGACCGTTCCACAGGTGCATGTTCATTAATTGTTTATGGTTCATTGAACAAGCATGGGAAACAGTGTTTAAACCCTTTACAATGAAGATCTGTGAAGTGATTTGGAGTTTATATGTGATGGGATGTATAGACATTATGGACAGTATGTGGATATACTATATATTCTATCTGAAGAACACGTGGATAGAATAGGATATGTACAGCAAGAGTTGAATAGGATGGACTTGACTAAAATACAGTATATACAGTTCATATGAAATGGGTAAAACAGTATGTAAACATTATTAAAGTGACCAGTGTTCCATTATTAAAGTGACCAGTGTTCCATGTCTATGTACATAGGGTAGCAGCCTCTAAGGTGCAGGAATGAGTAACTGGGTGGTAGCCGGCTAGTGACAGTGACTATGTTCAGGGCAGGGTACTGGGAGGAGGCCGGCTAGTGATGGCTATTTAACAGTCTGACGGCCTTGAGATAGAAGCTGTTTTTCATTCTCTCGGTCCCAGCTTTGATGCACCTGTACTGACCTCGCTTCTGGATGATAGCGGGGTGAAAAGGCAGTGGCTCGGGTGGTTGATGTCCTTGATGATCTTTTTGGTCTTCCTGTGACATCGGGTGCTGTATGTGTCTTGGAGGGCGGGTAGTCAGGAAGTCCAGGACCCAGTTTCACAGGGCGGGGTTCAGACCCAGGGCCTCGAGCTTAATGATAAGCTTGTAAGGTACTATGGTGTTGAATGCTGAGCTATAGTCAATGAACAGTATTCTTACATAGGTATTCCTCTTGTCCAGATGTGATGGCAATTGCATCGTCTGTGGATCTATTGGGGCGGTAAGCAAATTGAAGTGGGTCTAGGGTGACAGGTTAGGTAGAGGTGATATGATCCTTGACAAGTCTCTCAAAGCACTTCATGATTACAGAGGTGAGTGCTACAGGGCGATAGTCATTTAGTTCAGTTACCTTTGCTTTCTTGGGTACAGGAACAATGGTGGCCATCTTGAAGCATGTGGGAACAGCAGACTGGGAAAGGGAGAGATTGAATATGTGCATGAACACACCAGCCAGCTGGTCTGCGCATGGTCTGAGGACAAGGCTAGGGATGCCATAGGGCCGGCAGCCTTACAGGGGTTAACATGCTTAAATGTCTTAATCACGTCGGCCATGGATAAGGAGAGGCCACAGTCCTTGGTAGTGGGCCTCGTCAGTGGCACTGTGTTATCCTCAAAGCAGGCGAAGAAGGTGTTTAGCTTGTCTGGAAGCAAGACGTTGGTGTCGGCAACGTGGCTGGTTTTCATTTTGTAGTCCGTGATTGTCTGTAGACCCTGTCACATACGTCTCGTGTC